ATTTTATTTATTTTACTGTTGATTAAAAATATTACCATTTACGGTTGTATGTGTGGGTGTGTGTGTGTATACTGTATATATATATATATATTATATATTGTATACAATTGTATTTGTCAGCTGAAACCTTCAGCTCGGTAACACTTAACTAATATTATATCCTAGATATAGAAAGCACGTAATGCCATAAAATCTTTAAGTGCTGTACATAATCTAAAATTGAAAAGAAAATAAAAGGACCAAAAAGTTAAAAAAAACTATCCCATTAGAAAAATCCTGTTGGGTATTCATAAGGGTTTGCTCTTAAGAGATTCTATCATATTAGCATATACAGGGTTCGTACGGTCCTTAGAAAGTACTTGAAATTCCTTGAATTTGAGAATCATCTTCAAAGGTCCTTGAAAGTTCTTGAACACTTGAGTTCGTACTTGAAAAATCCTTAAAAACAGATTTTCCAATTTTACATTTTTAGAATCGACTTTGTATTAACGATGTATAAAATTGATTCTTTTATATTGCGTGTATTTTCGTTCTGATATATTTTTCTAAACACATTCTTTGTCATCATGATTCCACATGCTGGTCGACTGTTTTAAACAGCAGATTGCGCTTCCTAAGCTCTGCCCGCTAATTGGTTAGTTTTTTCGTGGGTGATTTGCAAACTTTTGCTGTGATGACATCAGATCGCCCAAAGTTTTCATTGTGCGACAGGGCAAATAAGAAACCCTCATGGTTTTATTTTAGAGTCAAATCTGAATAAATCTAGCAAATTTAAATTTCACTCTCTACATATTTCCTCCGTAATTAAATTAGCAACATGTTTTGGGAAGAGGCTTTGCATTTGTTAATTACACTGATGAATCTAACCAGGGAGTTGTTAGTGCCCCTGATCTAACAAAGTCTGAAAAGAGTCCCCATCGTCGTAGAAACTTGCTTTGAGTTCTGTCTTCAGTTCACGTTGATTCCAATCGATTTTTAAGGATTAAGACGAGAGTGCAAAGGAAACTAGAAAGATGATTTTTTTTTTCTCTACAGGGGATTTTTTACAGAATACAGAACTTTTATTGGTCTTGTGAAAGTAAAAGTACAGTACAAGAAGTTACTTCGTTGTTGGCAAACCATATACAGCATTACTACAAAATACATTACAAAAATTAAAAAGGTATATGCCATTAATAATAGAATCCGCTTTAAAATCGTTTTTTGGCAATTTTTTTTTTATGAAGTTACATGCCATTATATACGATATCTCTTTGTGCGCCGAGAATTCAATAATAAAATAGTAAAAGCATTATGCATTACATGTAAAGTAGCATATTCTAAAAGCGCTTAAATAAAAAATCTTGTCCGACAGTAAAAAACACTTGCCGGCCAAGTGGGTTCGCTCATGCCTGACGTGGAAGATAACGTCGAGGATTCGTAACCTACCTGTCTGAAAAACTGTAACAACAGAGATCATCGAAGTCTTCATCTCACGAAATGAATATAATTCCATATTTCAGCATGAGAAAAAAATAATGACTTCACTGTCTACTCTGGATTTTCAGCTATTTTGAACACGTGGCATTGTTTACAGTCACCTAGATTTGACTATAACACATTAGGGAGCTTTCGATTTGTTCGACGACGGGACGCTAAAGCGGAATCACTCATGCGTGACCGTCCTACCGGGCGTTCCACGTTCTCTGCATACGTATATTTGACCAAATGACGTCCTAGAATCCACGTGAATTCTCGCATGCGCAGATGACTTTTAGTGACGTCATTACGTTCTACGTCCTACCGTCGTCGTGCAATCGAAAGATCCCTATTAACTAAGACAACGACATGTTTGATTATAATCTGAGACAACTTTTATATAGTTGTCTCAGATTATAGTAGTAGCGATGATGATACAGCTGTCTCTTATACACATCTAGATGTGTATAAGAGAACAACTAAAGGCCATGTAAATAAATAAGTTGTTGATTGTCTATTCCCTACATAAATAAAATCACAAAAATATCACCATTCCGCCCACAATTCAAATTCGGCCAGGCCTATGTTTTTTGCGTAATTAAGTGTCTTTCATTTGTTTGTTCGTACAGGGAGTTTAAATTCCACCTGATCAAACACTACACTGGAAGATCCGTCAAGTAAAAATAAGGCATTGCTCTCCATGGGGAATTTAAAGACTTGGCATCTATCAAGGGGGTGGTTTCATTAATACAGATTTGAAAAAAAAGCAAAAAAAAAACAAAAAAAAAACAAAAAAACGGTTAAATTCCTTTGCAACGCGTTTCAAGTGAAAAGTGCAACTAATAACAACACAGGATATTCAGTACTTTTATGACTAGTTTATTTATGACAGTACACAAGCTTTCGTGCACACAGTGCACTTCTTCAGGTTGTGTGCACGAAAGCTTGTGTACGGTCATAAATAAATTAGTCATAAAAGTACTGAATATCCTGAGTTTTATTTTCTATTATATATTAGACTAGTACGGCTTATCTATTTTAAAATAAAAACACGTTAAAGCCAGTATTGGCAGGTGGGCGGGGCTTATAATGACGATCACCTACGGAAGCTGAGGTTGACCTTACTTTTGTGAGCTATACAGCCAATGCTGGGAAAGAAGTAAATACCACACCCTGAAAGTATGAATAAATTATAGTTGCTACGTCCATACCATTACCCAACTAGAATTCGAACCCATGGTTACTTAAGTACAGTATACAAATTAAACAATTCAAATTTGATAGGTTTTTTAGCTGACAGACAAAACATTAGGGAGCTTTCGATTTGTTCGACGACGGGACGCTAAAGCGGAATCACTCATGCGTGACCGTCCTACCGGGCGTTCCACGTTCTCTGCATACGTATATTTGACCAAATGACGTCCTAGAATCCACGTGAATTCTCGCATGCGCAGATGACTTTTAGTGACGTCATTACGTTCTACGTCCTACCGTCGTCGTGCAATCGAAAGATCCCTATTAACTAAGACAACGACATGTTTGATTATAATCTGAGACAACTTTTATATAGTTGTCTCAGATTATAGTAGTAGCGATGATGATACAGTATGTTGAACATTAAACATAAAAAAACAAAACGAAACAGAGAACATGAGTGGAATTCAAGTTAATTATATTCGTGAAATCATAATGACCACATCATAGCAAATTGCACTATACCCAGTTTACTACATTAACCATTTAACCCAGTCATCTTAATGATAACCTAGTTATCTTGACAATAATTAATTCAAATACTGAGGTTGTTACTTTGAACACCTTCGTTACCTACACGTCATCGGTGACTTTTAATATTGTTTCTGCACAAGTGCGGCAATACAACCCACACTTCCCAAAAACATGTAATAAGTTTTAGTCGTTTTTACGAATGCTAACACAATTTGGTAACCCTACCAACAATCTATATTACTAGGTTCCGGTATATATACCAAATAACACGCATTAAGCATGTTAATATTACCACAAATTTCCAACAAAATGAAACTCCTGCGAACTTCAAATAAAAGTTTTTATTTGTACATAAATCTTAATGTTCTAGATGTGAAGATAAATTAAAATACATCCCATAATGTAATCTTTCTGTTTGTTAATTTAGTGGCAAAATAAACATCGGTTTCTTGACAATTTTGAAATATAAAAAATAATAAGCTAATGAAATCTTGCAGTGAAGGACTTTTGGATTCTCTTTCTAATATCAAGGAGTGGTGTCATCGTTGGCCGAGCTGGGAACAGCATTTGGGGATTCACACTAAAATCTGTCAAGGAAAAAATAATTAGAATCAGAGGCCACTGGCATAAGTGCAATTTTCATACTTCTGAATGTGTGCTTAAATTGGTTTTACTTCAGCCCCAACCAGTGGCGGATACAAGGGGCGGCACGGCACCTCATGCCCCCAAAATTTTAATTATTATAAAAAAACACTGGAGAAGAAAAGAAAATTATGTTCAAATTTAAGTTTGAGAGCATGATTTCCAGCCATAATCATACATTTTCTTACCTCAGCCCCAACCAAGGTGGGGCTGAGGTGGTCTAGACCCCCGTTCCGCAACCTTTTTAGCCGATGACCCACATTATGTCAAGCACTCAGACGTGACCCATTGAACCTGAAGTCCATAAATCACGTCCGTCGTTTTATATGCGCGAGGGATAGCTGGTATTAGAAGATACTACCCACTTGATACTTTTGGCAAAAGATATTATCACCCACAAAATGAATTTAATATTTATAAAAAATTAAAATATAACTAGGATTGAATTACTAATTTAACAAAACCACGTAGGTTATCAAATTTTTAAATATGTTAAAGGTTTGTAAAAATTTATGATTTACAGACATTTTACCATACATAAAATCCTAGATTTGTTGCCAGAAATCTATGGGTTATGCGAAGACAAAATTTTCAGCTGAAAGTTGAAATCAACAAAACTAACACTTTCAGGTTGTCATACCTGAAGTACAAATGTTTTGATAGTGTATTTTTTAACATGAAACTTTGATAACTCCTTTCGTTTACTGTAATTTGACTTCCTTTGTCCTCATTCGTATTAAGTAAAGTTATCATGATATGAAGAAGTTATGCGACCTATCAAAATTTGTCCACGGCCCAAGCATTGGGTCGCGACCAATAGGTTGCGGAACGATGACCTAAAGTCCTTTTGTAGGCCCCCTCTATTTAAAATTTCTGGAACTGCCACTGCCAACCATGACAGAGCCGAGATGGGTGTGGCCCATCTGTCGGGCAACTATGGACCACTCAACGCAGGGGCTGATCCAGTAGGGGTACAGGGGCACATTCCCCCATTTTGCCACTAAATTTTAAAATTTTAAGGCATATATTGAAATTAGCACTCTCACTTTTAAAAAATTCTGGATCCGCGCCTGTATCGGAAAAATACTGACACCAATGCTGATAATATCCCTTCATCATCCACGATCAGACGGCTACCATACACACTGCATAATAATAGCATAATAACAGTGTACAATATACTGTATGCTAGCAACAAAAAAAAAGCGAATCTCTTGAAAGGAAGTAAGTTATATTTGGTATACACTTCGATGTGGTGCTCATGCTTAATAAAGAGAACCATGCAGAGACTGCAAAAAATCTCAACGAAGCAGTAAAAAAAGTATGCAAGAGGTTTCCTTTGTAGAGAATAACATTCCTTATACAGGTCTCCATCTAATTAAAGACCCCTTCCAATTAAGACCACCTCCAATTAAAGACCACTTTTCTGTGGTCCCAAATTAACAAATGTTTTTTATTTTTATTATTCTAATTAGAGACCAGAGCTGCTAAAGACCATAGAAACATCGGTCCCAAAAGTGGTCTTTAATTGGAGGGAAACCTGTACTGAAATTCGGCAGAGAATTAACTTAGCAACCAAAAACAGTACAGCTAAAACACATTTAGCAACTTAATAATAGAAGAGTGGTTTTCAAATTTCACCAATATGCATGGACACATGGTGAAGTTGGTTGACATCACAGAATGAATCATTGATGAGAGCTTGGAACAGAGCAATTGCTTCCGAACTACAACTTGAGTAGTAGAAGATGTACAATGTACAAATTTGCACCTGTAGATATACATGTCTGAATATACTGTAACTTCATGCAAAGTATATACAATTAATTTACTCTTTCGATTAGAGTTTATAATCCAAGTTATAGCCCATGGGTACATTTTCAAAACAAGTCTTTCCAGAAACACTTGCTAGGGAAACATTTCGCTATATTTGAACCAAGGACACTTTTAAACATAAAATTTCATATCTTGCATAAGGAAATTAAATACCAAAAATAATGATTGAGTATCGATTTATGAAATCATATTGATACTAGCGGAAGATGATTATGATACTTATAGCCTATATACTGAAAATAATGATTTATATGAAAAAAATTAAGCAGCACCTAATAGTTTTACATCATGTCATGCATATCACCATGGAAACATTTAAATGTAGCATTAATGTTATAAGAATTGATTGTACAGTATATTATTTAATGATTTACTGTACTAATTCCTATTTCTTTGGCTTAGCTTTCCAATAGCTACATAAACATAGACTCCACCCAGATGTTAAACCATTTTTTCCTATATTTTGTACATTTCTCCTCTTTGCTGTAACTGTGTCGTCTGCTAGAAATTTTGACACGTTTTGTTAGCAAAATCCGTCTGATAGCAGAATCTACATAGGCTGCAAGGCGATGTTGTCGTTTGCTCACACAAGGCTTAGTTCTTCACTTTAACATCTGCTATTTTTACTATGTTGTTGTTGTCTGAGTAGAACTTTCTGTCATTTTTTTGTGTTCATAGTTCACAAGCTGTTGTCCTACTAAATATCTGAAAATTATAATTTAAAAAAATACATGGAATTAATTTCTTTAAAAATATGTCAGAGAAAGGGGAACACCAGCCTTACCTAACTGCATTGATGTATTGAAAAAAATAAACATAGATACAAAAACGTATGAGAAATAATAATAATAAAATAGTAATAATAATAACAATAATAATAATAATAATAATAATAATAATAATAATAGAAAAATGAACATGATGGAGAAATTTCTAAAGTAAGAATCACTTACTGTCATTGCAACAGTTGATGGTTGCAATTAAAGTGAGAATATCTTTTGAATGTACTGTATCTAGTATATTTAGTGGTGCTGCAGGTTGGTGATTTAAATTCTTGCTTTTAAATCCTAGGGCCCTCCCTATAAAGTTCCTTATATTCCCCTGGAGAGTTGAGATTGTGTTCCATAGGTGTTTAATCCACTGGCAGGGGTAATGATGTGAAGATAGATGGCTTTTCATAACAATAATAATAATAATAATCATAGACTTGCATAGCACATATTGTTAAGCTCTCTATGTGCTTCACATTATCATTACCCAGGTCATTGGATTAAACACATATGGAGCACAAACTCAAGCTCCCTGGGGGAGTATTCCATAATGATGTGTTAGCTACATCACCGCGTTTTGCCATTTTACTCTACCAGGTACCTACTTATACTCCTGGGTGGAGAAGCAATGCAGATAAAGTGTCTTGCGTAAGGACACAAGTGAAATGCGCAGCAAGAGATTGAAACCCTGTATAATGTGTTATTATTATAGGTACATACCTATGTACACTCAGTATAAATAATAAATAAAATACAGCTGAACTTGAAGGATTTGTCAAAATGGGATTTTTTTTTTACTTTTTGGTCCTTTTCAATTTTAGTTTATGTACAACACTTTCATTTCATTACATTACATTACGTGTTTTCTATTCCTAGGATGTTATTATTATTAGTTAACTGTTACAGAACTCAAGGTTTCAGCTGACAAATACAATTTACCCATACACCCGTTTACCCAAACGGTAATAATTTTAATCAACAGTAAAAGGAATAAAATAGTTTGCATTAAAAAAATTATTGTGTCTTAATGAATGTCATACTTACTTATCATTTTTGATATGTTCATATAGTCTTTTAAATTGTCGTAACTGGAAAAATAACACAGACACCAACACGACACTTGCTAACATCGTTGGGTATATCCTCCTTTCTACAGTGTGAAGCGTATCCTCACTAAAGCCTGTTATGTAAAAGAAGAATTGTATAAGAAATCTAGGATTTTATATATATTTGAGCAAGTGAATAAACAAAGTGCACTCAAACCCCCACCCCCAACTCAAGGAGGAGAGCCAATCACCCCCTGTCTTACAAACAATATGTTACCATCTCTGGTGCTCAAAGAGATTATCAAACGTACAGAAAGCACTACAGAAACAAACAGATTGTTTAATGATTGATTAATTGGTCGGTTGGTTAGATATGCATTTGCATAATTGCACCATTAGAAAATGTCTTTAATATAAACTACCAATCTGTATACACTTACCAAGTACTGGTAAGATCCCCATGGCTATGACATAGGGTAGAGTTAAAGATAGCAGTAATGATGACACTACTGGTAGTAACATGTTTCTTGAAATAAAAGTTAGATTCAGGTTACGGAAACCATCTTGGTATATCTAGATAGAAATAATATTATTTTCAGTTATTGGGTATCGATAAATGGAATGAGTGGGATTCTAACCCAAGAACTTAAGTTTGAGAGATGGCAACAAACTTAAGGATCATTTTTTCTAAGACAAAGAAATTGAAATTAAGGTTACTCATAAATCTTTCTAACATATCAGATCAATGCATTTGTTTCTTGGCATGGATCTGAGGCTCCAACATCCACCTGCCATTCTAATTTTTATTTAAAAGCTAAACAAATTATACAAGCAATCAAAATCTATAAACTATTTTTAGTTTTAACACAGATGGTATGATTTGACAAATTTGAAACAAGGAAGTGAATACATATTATTTTAGCATATGCTAGACTACACAATTTTCTCTATTAAATTACATGCTTTTAGTGGTCGTTCACCAGTCTGTTGCATTACAGCCATAAAGCACAACTTGTGAGCCTGAGCTGGTAATTATACTTATCCTGAAATTTTTGCAGCCGAGTAATTAGATTTTAATTTGATGTGTGTATATATTTGTTACCTGTAGATTAATGGTAGGCTCAGGGATATAAATGCAAGGCAGAGGATTCATACTGTTGGTGAACTACAGTATATATCAGTTTATGGGACACATGCTTGGTGGACATATAGCCCACAGATTTACACCCAATGCCATAAGAAGCAACCACTAAGAATTATTGGAGGACTTAGGAGAACTTTAAATAGAAAGCTTCTATTTTGTCACCTTTTCTGAAGTTGAAAGTATTGAACATATCATCATTTTGTGAATAATATACTTTCGATTACTTGTTCTCAATGTAGTTTTCTTTGATTCATAAGTTTGCTGTCCAATATTATTTCCAGGAGAGATGTATAGTGGTGTTTACATTCTGATTATTTTAATTTTATTATCTTCGCATACATTCGCTTATACTAAGTTTGTTACTAAGCCACCAGTAGAGGTGAGAACTTTCACAGGACAGAATGTTACACTGCCATGTGTTTTGAAGAATCTGATTACAAATTACTACGTAGTCCAATGGGCTCAGTTTGAAAACTTCAAATTACACAAAGTTATATCAAAGAACAGAAATGTTCTGATACCAAATATTGAAAATTTTGGTCGTTTCACAATCCTTGGTGATGGCATGAATTTCACACTTCTCATTAATATAATTACAGAATTTGAAAATATCAAAATTCCTGTTAAACACTATGTTGCGTGTCTCGTACTTGACCCATATGTAAACACCGAACTTATATCGTCAACTTCAGGAATCACTATAAAAAAATGGATATTTATTACACCAGTTTGTGGAATAATTGAGGCTTACTATGTTATTGGAGAAACATTAACATTATCATGTTATAATGATTCAGATCCTACTGTCATTACAACTTTGAAATCAGAAAATGGAGCCTTGCCTACTAAATTTAATGGTTCTCACATTATTCACAATTTAATTGTAACTAAAAAAGACCATGGAGCAATATTTGAATTTGAATCAAGGAGAAATGGAACAGATGAGATTAGAAACTGCTCAATAGGCCCCATCACTGTCAACTACAAACCTGAGATTAACATCACACAAACATCTGCAACGGAATTCCACTGTACAGCAGAGGCTAGGCCTCCTGTGAATGTAACACACTGGATAGTGGACTCTAGAATTCCACAGGACAGTTTCACAATTTCAAATGACGTTTTAAGAATCACGAAACCAATAAAAGATAATTCTGAGGTGAAAATAATATGCGAAGCGGAGAATTCCATTGGAAAAGTTGCGCAAACTGTGATCGTTCCAGCTTATAATCGTGATGAAGAAAACGAAAATAATATCAATCGAGAAGAAGATGGAAATAATATCAATCGAATTGTGATCATTTTAGTCTGTGTTTTATTCTGCATTGCACTTGTAGGATCATTCTACCTTTACAAATTCAAACAATGCAAGATATTAAAAACTGGCAATGACAATACCACTGTTGATCAAAGTTTACGTACCGAGGAAGATCGGTACCAAGTACCGATAAAGACTGTCCGTGAACATTATGAATCATTAAAGGTTGCTCAATCAAAAGAGGATGAAAAAGTTGTATATTATGACATTGTTTCACCAAATAAAGAGGGTCAGAGTTTGGAGGTTACTACGAGTAATGAATATGAAACAATCTCCGATGTGACATTAAATGTCAAATTAAACAATAATAAACAATTCATATACCGCAAAAATTTATATAGAATAGAAAAGTAACCTTTTTATTTATTTACTTATTTCTCCATATTAATATCATAAATAATACTATTTAACAAAACTGTCTTGTTTGTTGAAGTGTCAACGTAATCAATTACGTCAACGACCACTGAATATCCTGTCAGCAGAATGGTTGAAATTAGTAAATAAATAAATAAATATGTTAACAATCCTCGTGTTAAGAAATGCCATTCTACCAACATTGGAAATGAAGAATACAATAATAATAATAATAATAATGTTAGTCTTATAGTGCGCTTAATGCAAAAAATATGACAAAGAAACTGACACTGATTATGAAACTGTCCCTAAACTGGTAACACCTGGCAATATGAACGAAAACATTTCTCACCATCCAAAGACAACAGCATATGTTCACTACATTAACTTGAAAGTTAAGTACTCTAGAGGGGGATGATAGAGCCCGTAATCAACTTACTCACCAATAGTTTTGTCAACAGTAAAATCTTATACATATACCTATAAATACCTAAATCTAATAATGTATAAACCAAAATAAGAATTGCCTATTGCATTAGATATAAGCTTTCAATTGAAAATTATAATGAGGACAAAGATAGGTAAAAGTAAAGGCAGACTATACCTATAATGCGCAGCATCATTTTGCTTTATGTAAATATTTAGCAGCTGTAGAAAGGCGATTATTAGCTTCGTGAAGACAAACAAAATATATGAAACGACCATGGATGAGAAGCGATGCCCCTACCTTACCGCTCGGCCACATCACTTGCCCAAAGTCGACAAATTGTCCTTGCCAAAATTAAAATAGTATGGTCCAAATAGTACCATTTCCATTTAATACATACTGTATAAAACTATAAGTTTTTGCCAACAAATTTATTCAGTATTCAGAATTTTAGAAGGTTTAGTAGTAAAATGAGGCTGGCCATCCCAAAACCAGCGTACTGTCACTATATGTTAAAATGTGTAATTAGCTTAAGAAAGTGGCAGTATTAAATACTGCTCTAAAAAGAAGCCATAACACTTTTGCTCATAACTTATGGCAATATTTAGTCAATTAATTAATCATAATGAATGAATGAATAAATTTCATGCTATAGAGAAACATAATGACGACTTGTGTCACTTTGTTTTGAAATTACAGTACAGGAAAATCGTACTCCAGCTTAGCTCAGTCGGCTAATCTGGTGGTAGCCACTGTGTGTGCGCTGAACCGTGGAGATCTGTAGGTCCCCGGTTCAATTACCATCACTTCCTCTCCTTGTGTTTCAGCTGGAGGGCTGAAATACAAGTTACAATAGCGCACCCTCTTTTGGATGAGACGTTTAAGCCGTTGGCCGTTGGCATAAATGTTTAACTTTATGCTTTAGAAAAAACAAAGAGAAATAGAGTACAGTAAAACGTCAACTTTACGTACTTCTTGGTATGAAGATGTATTCGTATATTGAAATGTTCTTAAACTAGATGAAGTGTGAGTTTCCACTACGCTACTGTTACACAGAAGTTACACGGTGTTCCTCCATTGAATATTTGGATTATGGGCTAAACTCTGCGGTGTGGCATTTGGTTGAAAGATAAAAACTAATTATGTCACTCAGAATCTGGTCTTAGAGTATGTGGTAATCCAGAGGGTTGTAAATGGAGGTTCTACTCTTTATACCACTTACCTGTTCAAGTGCTGTCTTGAGCCACCAGTTGGGTCCCATCATAGTAACAGCACCCAGGATCTTAGTATGAAGTACCCCAAGTGCCCAGTCCTAAGGAGGCAAGTTTTACACAGAAAACATAATATACTGTTATTATATACACAACAGGTACGTTACAACCAATATTACTGATGATAATATTTTAATGACAATAACGCCAAAATAATGTGTTGCAAAATTACAAAATGTCACAAATCTTTTCAAAATATTTATAGACTAGAAAGGGTACAAAAAAGGCAACTAGAATAATTATGTACAGAAAGGAAGGAAATTGGGACACGTCATATTTATATAGATTAAACAATGTACATCCATTTCGGACTTTAAAGCCCAGCTCACAAAACACTTGATCTCAAAATATTAATAATAATAACTATTAATGTTTTTCATTTTGTTATAGTTAAATCAATTTATTTTGAATTTACTTTTTGTATATATTTATATTGTATTGTCATTGTATTTGTTTTTGATGATGGAGTAAGAGCAGTTTACTGTTTGGGCTTATGCCTATTACTTACTCCTGGCAAGAATATTGTATGAATACTTTTTACTTTGCCGAATAAATATTATTATTATTAAATCTAGGGTTTGCTACATTTTTAAATACATATTTTTCTAATTGAGTCCAAAATATTTGTATTTTGTTAAAAAAGGCACACTTTTCTAGTTAAATAATTCTAGTTTTAACCACAAATTTTAGTCCAGTGATTACCAGGTAACTAACTAAATTAACTAAGGGTCTGTGAACCCTTAAATTTATCAGGCCTCCATTAAAAAAAATTAAAATCAGTATTCATTTTTAACATATTTATTTAAGTCTATTACACTGATAAAATTATTACATGAAAAATAAACTAAAATAATAACATACCTGCCAAAGAAAGAATACAGGAGTTTGATCCATAGGCACTCTGAGCGGGATAACAACCACCAACTCAAACAAGAGACCAATAAGCAAAGGTACAACCCCAAGAAGAACCACTGCAACTACCAATGACTTCATTGCCTACGTCACAAAAACAAAATCCACAATTAAAAGATTATATGCAAAAAGCTTTGAGCTTCTACATTAGGCCCTGCCAGTGTACATCATCAATATACAGTACTGTATTTGTTGTTTAAGTTGGGTTGATTGAATACATCAAAACTTCATCAATCTGTACAGGACACAAAACATACTTTAGACTGTTTAACTGTATTTTGTACTTACCAGTAGTGCATAACGCTTCAACCTATCAAAGATGGCGCCAAATCCCTCTGGCACCCAGGAAAACACGAGCGACACAAACCTACAGGCCAACCAACATGTGTAGATTCCACAGGCTGCCGTGTACAGCTCATGGATGGTGATGTTATCTGCATACATGGACATTACCTTCCGGCCAATTGCCACTGGAATAGTCAAGCACATAAAGCTTGCCAGGAATAGCGTGATGCACATAAGGGCAACCAGTAGCACCAACTGATAAAGAAATTAAATTCAAGTGAACGCAGTAAAAATCTTTTTACACTTAATGACTTATCTTTAAAGAGCTAAATTTCACAAATGAAATGAAGGATAAAGGTTGTTGACTACTGCTAATAATAATGCAACTTGAATGATGATGATAATGATTATGATGATGATGATGATTATGATGATGATAATTTTTAACTGACATTAAGTTTAATTCCATACTTAAATGCTGATATACTAACTTTAAAAATAAATTATACACGGTAAACATTTGAACTGTGTTGGATCGTAATAAATCAACTATTGTTTTGATATTGGTGTTAAAATAGACAAAGAAAACTGATACCTGACTGTGGAAAGGGGAAATGCCATTAAGACTACAAGTTGAAAAATGATAAGGGAATATGGATAAAATGGTGGATTAGATCCTAAACCCTATTAAAACTATCAAATGTTATTTGACAAAAACATGTGACATGCCTAAATATGGTCATGATGACACCACGTCATGACCATATATAGGCACATCATGACTATATATGGGCATACAACAGTTGTTGGTGGTCATGATGACACTACATCATGACCATATATAGGCACATCATGACTATATACGGGCATACAACAGTTGTTTGTGGTCATGATGACACCACATCATGACCGTATATAGGAACATCATGACTATATATGGGCAAATCATGACTATATATTGGCATACAACAGTTTTTTGTCAAAGAAAATTTGATAGTCAGGATAGAGCTTAGGGTTTAAAATTAACACAGAAGTGAAACATAGGAAACAAAAAAGTAAACAATTATTGACAGCTTTGTCTCATTAGATGCAAAAAAAAAATTGAATCTTTTTATAGACACATACCGTGATGTTGATTTACAGCCGGTCATGTGACATAAAGTGGGTATTACTATGGAGAATTTACAGTATGATCAGTGATAAAGTATAGGAAAGTGTAATGTTATGGTTTCAAAAACATTCACCCACCATTAACGTGAGAAATAACTGGCAAGGAAAGGCACTACGATTGTTTAAAATAATTTTTATTACTTATTTTAGCGTTCATTGTGCTTTGTATGCTTTTGAATGTATGTGATCATTCGTAAAACCTAAGCTAGCCCAGAAATCATAGCAAGTCAAAATCGCAGTTGCGGGTCGAAGACTCTCGGGCATGCCTAAACAGGCCGTAGATATGCAGGGGACTAGGCCTAGCATTTCTAGAAAAATCTCAATGTTTGCGGCCGTATTTTTTGGAGCTAGCAAACCGTTATGGCAAAACTCAATCTCAATTTCCAATCAATTCGGTATAGTTTACTGGCATTCCAACCAACAATATTCAACAACAAATATGTGATTTACAGCACAAACACTTGGAAGAAGCAACATGTTTTCCTATTACCGAGTGTCGCTTGCGCTGCATATTTGCAATTGATACCAACTATACGTCACATGACCAGCCTAGCGGAATGTGTCTATTCAGATGATCCTGATGTACATACTTTGAGAGTAAAATATGAAGTCCTTTTGTATGGCTGGAACTCTGACTGTCCTTGATTTAGTAATCCCTGATGCACAGGATGCAGTCCATTCATGACAGGGGGTGGGTGGTTTACAATTGGAACAGCCTCTGGCTCATCTATCAGTGCAGCATCTCCCTCTTCCTCAAGATCTTCTACCATCTCTACATCAGAATCATCTATATTTAGGTGATCATCTGGTGCAAGATTCTCTGGAAGCAGTGGTACGTCTTCTGGCCACTGTATATATATGTCATTCTGTCCTTGTTGGTGGATGTCATCTGCCATCCCTATATTAAAAGCATCAATATTGAGGTTATTATCCAGCGCAAGATTCTCTTCAAGCAGTGCTACTTCTTCTGGCCACTGAACATACAGGTCATCCTGTTCTTGTTGGTCGACATCTTCTGGCAGCTGGTACACATTTTCTTCATCCTCTTCATTTTCTGGAAGGTTATCTTGACCATCTGCATGTTCTTCTACAATTCCAGTGTTTTCTTGGGTGGAATTGTCTTCGAGAGGTACATCCCCAATCAAATATGAACGTAAATCCCTGTTAGTAAGAAAAAATTGCCAAATATAAATATATATTCAAACATTATGGGGTTATAAGCTGTTTATGGTGGGTTCTTGTTTCCAAAAAACATAAAAATAAATCATTGGCATAGAAGAAACGCTTTTTGCTGTTTACACTAGCCGCATCTCCAGAATTTGTAGTCAGGTGTTTCAGAGTTTTGCTTGAAGTTGAAAAAGGGTATTAGTGAGTGGCACTCATTGAAGAAACAGACTGGGATTATAATCTTTGTATGGTGGTAGGGTATTCACCTTCCAATCTATGGGTTCTGTATTCTAATCACAGCACAACACAAAATAAACATATCATTTGAAACCCTCATTATCTGCAGGAGGAAGAGGGTCGGTTTGCAAAAAGAGGTGTAATAAAATCGCACCTAACCAATATGCTTATGTGAGTATCTGACTGAAATACAGTTACATCTCCCAATTACGTACCCTCTGTCGAAACAGAGTTCCTAAATGGGAAAATTTGTAATTCAAAGAGTTCAAATTTTCATAGCATCAAAGTGTGGTGGCTACAAAGTACATGGATAGGTAGGCCTAAGCCTTGTCATGGGAGCAAAATTTTGTCACAAAATATGAATTGGATTTTACTTTTTTCTGCAACAAAATAATTCTTTACAGAAGCCAAAATTACCTGTGCTCACCGTGAAGTATTCATTTGAAGTGATTTCATAACGAAAACATGACCATATAATGGCCAAAATGAGTGTTATTATTCTCTTCATAAAGATTGTGAATCCATGAAAATAGCGCCCCAATGAACAAAAAGTGAGATTTACTGTATAGTATGCCTGAACAAGCATGCACAACTCAAATGCAATATATCTCGGCTGAGAACGATTGATATTTCTTGCTTTAAACTTAGTTTTATGTCACTTTATTGGTCTAAATGTTTTCCTTCTTAGCTGATGACTTTTAAATACAACTTTAAGTGTTTCTGTAGTTATAAACAATCGTTCGTCATGACGTCATCACTGCAAATTGGGTTCGTAAAATCAAGAGTTTGTAAATTGGAGGTTCGTAATGGGGAGATGTTACTGTAGGTCAAAAAATGTGACTGCATGTTGTGGCATTTCAAGAAAGATGGATGAGAATTGTTATAAATTTATATCCCCCATGGTAAAAACAATGAATATATATATAATAATATATATAATATATATATTATAATATATATTTAAATTTTACAGTTAAGTACTTACAAGAGGTAAGCCACCGACACACACCAGCCTCGGACCGAGTTCTTAAGCCACAGTCTTGTGTGGCCTTGTTCCAATAGCGCTGGTAATACAACTTGCAATAGAAGCAGCTCCAGTGATAATTCACTTACTGGTGCATCACTGAGAAAAACATACAAACAGTAATCCTATCATTTTTGAAGAGTGTTCTGATTGGCTGGGCATTTGACAGCTTTTGGTATTCTTAAAATAAACTATAATATGTATTATCAATATTATACTTATTAAGGCAAAACTCTTTTTTTACCATGTTTTGCGAACTTATATTTCTAAAGATTGTCGAAACAGGGCGGAAAAAAAATAAATATAAAATTTTGTTTTCTTATTTAGCAAATAGTTTTGCTAAAAACATCCAGATGGAGGATAAAATAAAAATAAAATTGTATTAGTGAATGTAAACAGTATAGTAATGGGATGGTTAAATGCTTTAAATTTATATAATTAGGAAGAAATATACATATCTTAATTTGGAGATTTCAAGGCAGCAGCGGGTGTAATAAAAATAAAGAAAATCTTTTATTTTTTCTGATATTTTCATTTTTTCATTGCAGTGGGTGCGCTAATTGGTCAAAAATAATTTTTTTTTAAATTCAAAATCATCATTATTGGCACACAACAGGTTTGCTAAATATGGTATAAAAAAAGTCTCGCCTACTGTTGTTTCTTTTCCCTGCATTCTCTTGTCATGTCATTACGTAGGTCCAGATTCAGCAAACTAGAAATCAGCTTAAAATAGTCTTAAGTCCATTTTTTTTCTTAAGTCAGATTTATTAGTGCTTAGTTTAAAAATTTCTTAAAATTAAAAAGTACGGATGCGCCATCCAAGATGACTTTTAGCTAAAATTTTGCTAAGATGGTTTGATAATATTTACTTAGGGACATCTTAACTTACTTGACTTAAGACATTTGTTAAGCTGAGATTGATAAATCCCGGGCCTGGGCTGTATATTCGATATTATTTTGCAGACATTTGTTTAAAGTTTTTTAAGAAATCATTACCCATATTTCTTGGCAAAAGAAATTGCCAACAAAAAGACATCACTGTCCAACTGATGATTGTCACCAATCAACAAATCAGATATATGATAAATAATAACCTGTAAGCATACGATTAATTGTTCTTATATGAAACATATTTGTATATATTTTTTATATATTTTATATTTTCATATTTAGAAAAATATTTTTTAAAATAAGTCATTGATAGAGAATAAAACACTGTAGTTGTATACCTTGAGAGTTGTACATGATATGGTAAGAATAATGGAAAGAGAAATTTAATCAGTGAGACCGGTAGCCACAGCATCAACAACACTACACTTCCAAACACGACCACTGACAGGAGGAAACGACGAACATGATTGTAGATCGGTAGGTGTATCATCTCTTGAATTGGGTTGAAGTCAGGGTCATTTAAGTTACGTAGGAACCACAGCACACCTGGACGTAGAATCTAAATTTGGGGAGAATTTAATCGTTACTACTATATAGTTTAGTACTTACTGAATATCAGCAGGCCATGGAGGCCATTCTAGTAAAATTATGCTATACATTATTTTGTATAAGATTCATATGACAAATTTGTATAATTTGACCACATTTGTATAATTTGATACATATTTATGACTAATCATATACTTTTTAGGGACCACAGTGGAAATAAGTTTTTTGTACTTTTCTGTGTTTTTATCCTTGAATGTATTTTACTTATAATTACTTCAGAATGAATAAATAAAAAATTAAAAAAAATAGCCATGATGAAAGATGGTAACAACTATGAAACATTAAAAGAGGAAAGCACAAAACCAGAATCTAAAAAAAACTGGGTGTCTGAGCAAGAGGCAGAGCACCATAAGTAGTAGCATTGGCATGATGATGATGTCATATCACACCCATATATGGACATGATGATGATGTCATATCACACCCATATATGGACATGATGATGTCATAATAATAATAATAATGGTGGACTTATAAGGTGAATACTGTCATGAACTCTATGCGCATATCCCACTAAAATATGGGCAAATCAAATGTTACTTTAGACAGAGTTTTTTCAACTGCTCCATATACATAATTTTCTAAGAGTAATAAAGTCTGAATGGATACAGCCACTGTTAATACAAAATGGTTCGTAAAGAAGGTTAATCGAGAACTAAAATCTAACGACGATAAATTTTCAAAGGAAATTCAAATTTTACATACCTCTCTCAGTAGCAAAACAAATGATGCAAAATAGAAGACGTACACCATGCCCACTAACCAATGCAGGAACATGTAGGTGCCTGGGGCTGAAGTAAACCCTTCTTCGCGCTCATGAAGGGTACTGTTGAATAGGGACTGCAATGGAAAACAGTGCAGGGTATGAAAAACAACAGAGTATTTATTGTTTATATCTGAAGTACTGTAAAGCCCTTTTCTCAATTTTTCAAGCAACCTCCTACTTTTCTGATATTTAGGCTACTTACCAAGGCCAGGCAGGACAACTGCAGCTACTGCAGGGCAGGCTTGCACAAAGTTTTTTTTCAAATTGAAATGATACAAATATTGCAGCAAAGTAAGCCTAATAAGTTGACCAAAATGTTTACCAAAAGTAGTAATAGTTAATAGTTAGTTAATCAACTAATGGGAAATAACCGCATTATAGAAGAAATACAATGCTGTGATTTTTTTCATTCCATTGAAGGTAGGGTTAGACTTAGCTAGCACCACCGCTAGTAGGCCTAGCACTCTGGCTGTGTGAAGTAAATTGTGATGTAATGGCCTAGCTAGCTATAAGATATCTATAGCTATAGCTTTGTTTTTGAAGACAAAACTATCATTCAAAATTTTGTGATTTTCACAATCATCGTCTTATCGCGAAAATTAAGGGCTTTACATACAGTATTAAGTAATAGTGAAAATAAAGGGCTTTACATACAGTATAAAGTAATAGTTACGAAAATTTAGCTAGGCTCTGGGGGGGGGGGGGCCGCAACATCTTCAACAAAACACTACTCCTGGTAGCAAATTGGGCAGTACATATACAGTATACTTTAACACCTCATCCGTTGAAAGTAAAGCTATGTCCAAACTATCAGCGTCTCCGACAAATATGAGGCATGTCGTGGCAAAATGCGTAAGTTGTCGCACAAGCCAGTATTGAGTAAATGAGTTATAAAATATGGGAGCTCAAAAAATTGCCTTAAAATCCGAATTTGTTTTTCACTATAGATCAACAGTTTAATGTCTTATTAATCATGGCCCAAAGTATTAGTGCTGCAAGTGGTCAACAAATCGTTTATTTAATGTTATTTAGATAGTTAATTCTATTAAACAATGTATGCACAAATAACTTTTAAAGGCAATTACTCAAAATCATGTTTATCTTGACTCTAAGAGTGCTGTACTTTCACTTTCCAATAACTTAGGCTTGAAATGTTCAATTTCAATGAATGACCCCTCATTTTAAAGATCACATACTCAGGTATCTGAAAATACCAATAACTAGAATTTAAATTTTTGCTACAACTTAGCCATTTTGCCACAACCTGCCTCATATGTGTGATGTACTTATATATGGGCATTATGATGTCATACCACACCAGCATATGGGCAAATGACATATCCCTGCCACACCAAAAATTCTTCTAGGCTGGCACAAGTTAAGTCTACAAGTTTGTATACATAGAAGTTATATACTATTTCTCTTATAGTTTTCATTGAAGTAAAGCACCTTGTGTTGGGCGCTATATAAATGCAGAAAAAATATTACTGGTACTTACCAGCGAGCAAACATCAAGCCACCAACCACAGATTAATGGAAACACTCCAATTTCTAAGACAACTAAGAGGAACACTTTTAACATTATGTAACACATACCAACAAAACGACGGCTACGTTCAAACGTCAGCACGCGACCGATAGACTAAAGTACAATTTAGTTAAGGAATCCTAACAAAGGTTAAAAAGCATTTAAATATAGTAACCAACTGACATAAAAAAAATAAAAATATTTATGAATAATAATTATGATCGTATCCAGTATAAATACAGATATAGTACAAATATAACTTTCTAAGATTTTTTAAACAGCTAAGCATAGTTAAAAGAAGTACATCAACAATATTGATGTTTATATTATGTGTTTTGCACTTCTGGACATTGGCATGAAGTTTTTACAAAACAAAATATGTTGGGATCTCTTAATGTATTTTTACATAGCATTAGTTTTATGAGATAAATTTGTATGATTTGACAACATAGGCATGATGATCAATATGCACTATATAAATATAACATTATTATTGTTATTATTATTATTATTATTATTATTATTATTATTATTATATCAAACCCATATATGAACATGATGATGTCATATCAAACCCAACTATGGGATGAGAATAATCTAGTTGGAAGGATACATGAAGAATAAGTAGGGTTGTAGTGAGTCCCAAGTAACCTAGGATAGTTGTGAAGACACTATCAAAGCGGGATACACCAACCACCTTATGCCACTGTAGCAGTGACATTAGGACCTGACCAAGCTGATATGGAAAGAAAGCTGAAAGATCAAACACAGTACAGCACAGTAAATGATTGTGCGACAAATTATATCAACATTGCATTTGTACAAATATTGTAGTAAAATTTCCATTATCGTCACCACAACCCTATGTTCAGCCATCATAATCACATATTTCTATATCATAGGCCTAGGCCTAATTCTAGGGTGCATTGTCAACCACCACTCATTCCATGAATTTTGGTATGCAAAATGGAATCTACAGGGCTAATAATCATGGCTGAGATATCAAATTCATTAGTTAAGCTGACGTTTTCAAACATCTTACAATCATTTGTGGGCTTCTCCTTGACTTTTTAAAAATAAAAACAAAAGCAATGACTCTACATTTTCTGAGAGTTTCGGTTGGGCTTTGGCATGCAACACAACATTTCTTTGCCATACAAATCAAGGATCAAGGTTCATTATTCAATCATATACAAAAATACATGAAATGTGTTTTCCTGTGTAATTGAACATAAAATATAAACACATCGTTAAAATACAAAACTAAGTATAAATGTCCTAAATGCAAAAGGAAAACATCTGAAAAACAGACGCACTTCAGCAACTTGCATTACAGCCCTCTAGCTGAAACGCAAAAAGTGTAACAACCCAAGAATAGCAAAGTCTCACTAGTCTAAGTGACTTTTAAGCTAATCGTCCGGGCTAAGCTGCTTCCTATTAATGGACACGGTAATTGTACGTACCAAACATAAAAACAAAAAGTGCATTTAAAGAGATAACCCAGAATACATGCTCCAAGAATATCAGGGATCCATCCAATCCCAGCATTCTCTCCCATGTCAATTCTTCCGCAGCACGATCCCATTCCAACGCATTCCAATTCAGATCATCTGTAATCAAACAACAATTAGAAAAGTATTATTACTATAACATCACGTAATAATGTATATAAATCTAAGTCTGAGTTTAAAAACTGATGGTTTATAAGACAAATAAATAAGGAGGTAGAGATTATCTTTGAGATGCATATAGTTGGGGTAATAGCAATGTTGTGAGTGCATTAAACTTTTGTTTTGAAAATCTATATTGTGGCTCTCTAGTTAAGCACAAAAAGAGCTTGAAGGAATAAAAACAGGGACATACATTAAAAGTACATAAAGTTTGTCACTTTCCAACTTCTTCTTATCGAGTCACTACATAGCTAGTGTGTATGATCTAGCTTGCGTAGTGTGGTAGAAGGATTCGCAGGTAGGATGGACACCTGACATGAGCCGCAACGTAAACTTATCTGACCGGACGGGGACTGGAAATGGACCAGTACACCGGGGTAACCCCCTACTCTTCTCGAATGATGTACTGGGTTCTTTAAAGTGCACACAAGCCAATTGTGTACACTGGACCTACGGTTTAGTGTCCTTATCCGAGAAGACTTGTTCCACCACTGGAACCATAGGCGAGCGTGCTGTTTGAACCAGCGCCGATATTATGGCTGTAAGTCACGGTTCCCGTCTTAACCGCTCGGCCAATCGACTCGCCACTTTCCAACAATCAATAATTACAAGATAATAGCATTATATTAGTGCTGTGTCACTATTACGGTAAATTTGTGTTACTTACCTGGTCCTCCATTTTCTGCTGCTTCACCCTCTGCTGCTGCCCCCTCTGCAGCATTTTCATCATTAACAACCTTGAATAAAGAATTTTTTACAAACAGGTTAAATAACCTTTTTTCTTCAGATTCAAGTGCAAAAATTGGACCTACTAGCAGGGTTGTTTTATAGCAAGTCAATGATTTTGTTTGTACTTTACAGTTGACCCATATTTGTAGCCATCATGTGAGGTTAATATATATGCACAAATGACCTACCAACTGCTGAGGCTGTGGCTGATTTTGGACACCTAGGTCAGGTTGCTGTTCTAGCCACTGAGGGCCTCCTCCATTCACCACTTGTTCTCGTAACCAGACTAGACTTATGAAGGCACAGAGGGTACATCCAACGATGAAACAACCTTGGACAATATCACTGGCTAACGCTTCACTAGAGGAAAGAACATCATTAAAATACAATTTTAATTGAACATCTTTTTCTTGTCAAATCTTATAATGATTCCTAAATATAAAAATATTAAGTATTTAACACATACAACAGTGCTGTTTCATTTCCTTAGTAGTTTTTCCCTCACTATTTTAGATAAACTCAGCAGCTATCATATATCACCAGTTTCCTTTAGAATGTAAAAAAAAAATGATTCATATTTTTGTGGTTAGGAAATCAATCCTTTATTAATGTAACTGTATATGTCTAATGTGTTTATCAATGATACAGTACTTTTCGATAGAATAAGAAAAAAACATGTAGGTGTTAAAAAAACATACATATATTTAAGATTGCTCCCCTGCTTGTTAAACTTTTACATGCTTTTTTTAAGAGGTACAACTACACTTTATGGCTAGTTTCAATGGTCTGAATTCTTTGTTTACTTTTTTTGTAAACTGCAATTGGTAAAGCACAAACTTTACTTTTATTGTGATTGTAAAACCCTACACATTAATGTTAAAGGAAAACCAAAAAATGGATAAAACGGATCTATTTTATCAGAACAGTTGTATTGACAAGCCTACTAATCGATTCACTGCACTGCTAAAATTATTGTTTTGTGTAATTTCCGGTTTGTTATTTAAATGTATAAGAAATAGCAACATGCTGTGTTGGCCTTTTGTCTTAAATGACATCCTTTCTTCCAGGGACTAACATGTGTGTTTTTTAATGAATATTTAATAGATTAATCAAAACAATGTTTGTGGGGAACTGAGATGATGTATGTACTTAAGCACTTTCAGAAGTGAAGTTGATTAACAGACCAACTGAAATTTGTAATTGGGCTTCAAAAAGGGTCCAGATGAACAGATAAAAAAAAAGGATGACTAAAGATGCATTTACAACGAATCCAAATTTTCGGATCGGAAAGCCTACCCTAACCTATCAGAAAATCAGCTCAATATGTAGGAATAGGCATGCCGTCGTTTTGCGCATCAGAACGTGGTCCGAATTTTGTTTCGGATCCGATGTAAATGCAGCTTTACATTGGGAAAAAAAAAAGGAGAAAACACAAGAATTGTAATTTATTATTCATGTCTATTATTGTAAACCAGTTTACACTAAATGAAAAATGCAGTAGTTATTATTACAACATACTTAGGAAGCAAACTGCATTGTATTGTTACATACATATGGTTATATGTGGCCTTATCACAATTTGATATGTGCTGGAAGATAACCATGGAAGAGTAAAACAATCTTTGTTGCAATGTATACTACAAACAGAATGTAGCCTTGAAATATGTGGTTTTTTTTTTTTTTAACGATAATCAAACATTTTGCAGTTATGTATGGAAATCCTTGACAAATTTTATATAAAGATAGAGATAGCCAGTCTGATAGGCATGAGGTAGCCAAGGTGCGGATTTGGGAGGAGGGGCGGGTCGGTCCCGGCAGCATCCTTTTGGAGAGTAAAAAAAAAACGCCACACCCCCCCTCTTTTGAAAAAGAAAGAAAAAGGAAAAAATTGATTTAAGTTTTTCCCTTAAAAATGTTAGGACATAGTTTATGCATTTCGTTACACTTTTTAGTGTCTATAGTGTCATTCGCTAAACTTTGACACTATCTTATTTATTACATAGAAATCAAATTTTTATCGTTTAAATAAACTGCCATCACTACAACACTAGAGGAAGTAATCTTAATTTTAAAGTGCCAACTTTTAAATCAGTAGCTCAAAACACATTTGTATATCAAGCTATTAAAAATTGGAATGCTTTGCCAAAATTTGTTAAAAATAGTGGATTTTTAGAAACTTTTAAAAAGAATGTAAAGAAATATTTTATTGATAGAGCCAAGGGTTTGGATTTAGTGTAATAATTTTAATCTGTAAAGAATTTTTAATTTGATTGAGCTAAACTTTTGATTCGTAGTTAGTTTTTGTTTTTTACTGTTCTTGTAATTCAATTTTCTTTTTTAATCATGCGAACCCCATTGGAAATAAGTTCCAATTGGAACTTTATGGGCTATCCGGCATTTCTTGAATTTCGTCCTTTTTTTTTGTGTGTATGTATTTTCTTGTATTTTATGTATTTTTTAATGACTAGTGTTTTTGCTGTAATTTTAAGAGATGCAAATAAATCAATTCAATAGAGAGATAGCCTTTTATAAGTATAGTCAACTTTGTTTTTAGATTACATTACTAACATTTAATGTAGGTCAAAATTGTTTACTAATACCACACTATTACATAATGTAGCAAATATGTATTTACTCCACTAGGCCTATATACCAAATAATGGTAAGAAGTTACAAACATAAACTTACATTGAAAAAATATCTGAAGGTAAATTTAATATTGGTGCAATGGAGCCTTGAAATAAGCAGTTGTATGTACAACCTGTGAATAAATTATAGGTGTTATAAAAACATTATTACAATAGTAACAACAATACATTGGAAAAATATATGTATATGGGTATGGATGTTGATGTTAACTTAAAAATTGTAGTAGTAAATCCATCAAGCCAATAGTAATTCACACAGTTTAAATTTATGTACGTCCGAAATAAAAGATGATTGAATAGGTTTTTAAGTATAGTAATAATAATAATGATCACAATTAAAAGGTTGATGACAATTTTTTAAAGTTAAGCCAAACTATGTTACGCCTACTGTGTATGCTGTATTTTCACGTACAAGAGGGTAGCCCTACTCCAATGTAGGCTGCATATCAATACAACAGGCCCAAATCCAGTAGGGGAGAAGGAGCACACATGGAAGGGGTGGGGGGGGGTGCCACTATTTTTTTTTCAAATTTCAGTGCAATGTTATGTGCTACTTGGTTATTTATTCTGAAACTGTTCTGCCCACCCCCTTCCCCTTTAAAAAATTCTTGATCCACACTTGATTAAACTGCACAATAATTCCTCACAAGGACTATTCAGCAGAGACACTCAAAACATTAAATACAAAGACGTCCTTTAGAAAAATAATGACATGGTGACCATAACGTCCACAACGATTGCCCCCTCAACTTCCCGTAACATTCAACAGTACATCGCCCACTATATCAACACTGTGCGGAGCACGGGTATATGCTAGGTACTAATAATTATTAATATCGGCAACTTTTTTGACAAAATAGATTTCTTTAAGGCACTTTTGTTTGGATCAATTGTGAATTTTACTTAATAGTTCAATACAACCACATACTTACATGCAGCCACTGGAACTACCCCTAACCAAGCAAATGTGACAAGTGTGTAGTGTAGCCAACATTTCACAGCAGTTGCAATATTCTTTAACAAGCCCTTAGCAATGTCTTTCACAGGCAACCGAGCTGGCATATCAGGGGCATAAACTACAAATAAATAATATAAAATATGAATACCTACAAAATTTCACATAGATTTTATTGATTTATGAATGTTAAAGCAAAGAACATTTAAGTATACAGTAATACATACTCCAAGTACTGAAATGAACGCCCAACACGATGGCATGCATTTCAATATTTGGAGTATGCATTATACTATACTATTATCTGAGATTAATCAGTGGACCTTTCAGTAAAGAACATCTTATGGAGAAAAATTGAGAATAATGAACCTTCCTGAAGTGTCAATAATTTCCTGAAGTGTCAATAAAAAAAAATACTGATGATGACTTTATTAATTATAATTTCTAATGTGGCATGGTATTAAATAGAAGTAACTAACAAATTGGGGGTTGAGTGTAACAATATGGGCTGAAGATAAAGGTAGGAGAATAACCCATAACTCGCAGTATCATTGTGCTGAATTGCGTATTGACGTGGTCCGTGAGTACCTAGCGGCCGTAAAGAGGCGCTTATAGTAGCTACATGTTCACATCATTCCACAACAACAGGCGCTGAAATGAACCACAGCATCAGAGTAACCCCCTACTCTTCTGAAAGATGCAATGGGATGCAGATGTGTACACTGGACTTTTAAATTTGAAGTCCTTATCTGGGAAGACTTGGTTCTACCAACTAAACCCTAGGCGAGGAGCGACTAGAAATAGCGCCGATGGTAAGGCTGTAGTTAGCGGCACACCTGCCTCACTACTCGGCCACTAGACTCGCCACCGACACTAAATGTTGTCTACATTTTAGTCAATAAACATAATTTGTACCTACAGTAGCGTTGCGTTTCTTCCTGAAGCGGATATATATTACATGGCCGGCTCATTTCTCTGCCATCTAGGAATCAACATTTTCTCGGGGGTGGACCTCCGACCCCCTTTTTTTTTTTTTGGGATTCATCGATTCATGGAAAAAAGTTTACGTATGCAACGTATGTATACCGGTACACACATAATAGGCCTATTTACTGTACTAAGAATGAGAAAAATTTACCTGACCCTTTTCAAGGGGGAAACCTTGAATTTTGAATAACTTTAAAGTCATTAAAAAGCATTTCATTAGTCAGGAAAGCTCATTTCACGCCATTTAGAAATCAACATATTCCCATGAAGAATCCGAATCCCCTTTCTCTTTGGGGTTCAATGATTCATGGAATTGTTATCAAGAAGGGAAAACCTTGAATTTGTAAAACTTAAAAGACACCTCGTAAGTCGGGAAAGCTCATTTCCTGCCACCTAGGAATCAAATTTGTCCTGGGGGAGAACCCTGAACCACCCTTCCCCTTGGGGGTTTATCGATTCATGGAAAAAAGAACACGTATGCAACTACTTATTTTTTTAAAATATGTATACACACATAACAGGCCTATTACTGTATTAAGTATGAGAAATTTTACTTGACCATTTTCAAGAGGTGGAAAACCTTGAATTTTGAAGGATTTTAGTCCTTAAGTCATTGAAAGACACCTACTGTAGCTCAAAATTGGGAAACCTCATTTCCCGCCATCTAGGAATCAAAATTTTCCCTGGGAAGACCCCCAAACCTCCCTTCCTCTTGGGGTTTTTGGTGAAAAACTTTTGAAAAACGTTCCGCCGGCCCTGTATTATAAAATGTCTGTTGAGTGTGTGTCAAACTTGTTTGTATGCATTGAGTAAGTGTATAAGAAGGATGAAGACAGAGAATTATATGGGTATGTGTACAGAGGTATGTTATATTTGTAGTCATCCTGAGAAGAAGTATTATAACATAAAAATAATGTAGGCCTATAAATAACGCACTTACTTGGGGTGAATATAAAGCGATGCCTACATAGCTCACAGTATTCTTTCTTGCTGTGTTTAAGCCATTGTACGAGGCTAATAAGGAAAACAGAAAACAGATTGAGTATTTCTACTTACTTTATGCTACCGTACTATGCTGAATATTGCTATAAACTTAAAATAAATATAAATATTCTTACCAGTCTTGGTGGATGTACTTGATACTGCCAGTGCAAATGCAAGGATGGAATAGAGGGCGTTCTGCAGTACTCCCTGCCCGACACACCCTACATATATCCTCTGAATAGAATAAGAAAACAGGTATTAAAATCCTGGAGTTTGTAAGTCATGTTGAAATGCCGTCTAACATACTTCTATCAGGGGCAGACTCAAGGACTGCCTCCCCTAATATAATACCCAAATATTTATATTCTTATATTTATAAGAAAGATCAAAGGGTTGAACGTTATTACTCCTGGTCACTGGATAACATACAATGGCAAACCAGCCATTTACACTCCTGGGTAGAGGGAGACAAATGTAGATAAAATGAAGTGCCTTGCCCAAGCAAGGGCACAAGTGACTTGTGAGAGTTTCGAAACCCTGACCTCAAGTTTTGGAGTCCAAGCCACAACCAATGCACCAACCACTTGCCTTGCAGTAGTTTTGTGCTTACATTTGTACCGATAAATAGTTATTTTGGTATCACCTTTCTCGTTTACTGTAATTTTGACTTAAAATGAAGCTCTTAATCTTAACATTATTCATTAAAATTATTCAGAACAAAAATGTGAATGAGGCCTACCTGCTGGGCTAGCCTAGGCTAGGTTCTGATGTACAAATTTGTAATAGGTCTACTGAACAATAGGCCTAGACAGGATAGTAGGCCTAGCTAGCTAAATTTTTGCACTGAGAATAGGCCTATATTCCCTGCGTAGGCCTTAGTATACAGCGCAACCAGGTAGTTGTTATAACTAGGTACGTGATTATTGGCCATTGAGAGCGCGATACCATGGCACCACTATCATTTTCTGCAGCAACTCAACTGTCTGGACAGCTCTCTATTGTTTTGGCTGCAAAGGTCACATTTATTTTTTCCCTATGACCCGAAAACACTGATGAGGTAGTTCACATTGTCCTCAGCTTTGACCTCGTCATCAAACCAATTTTTTCCGACTTCGCGATGTGAGTGAATTTATTGCCGAAAGTTATGGTTGTAAAAAACATGCAATTATTTCATAGAAAGATAAGTTTATTTTGTTCTGAAACAACTTTATTGTGTTAGTTTGTATATTCATCCACAACTGGGTGTAATATTTAGTTGTTTTGAACACCGAAACCTTGTTTTTGACAGAAAATAAAAATGGGAAAATGGGAATTCCTTAAATCTATCTGTTTGTGTGGTGCAGGCTGACGTCATGCATGTGGGTCTTGCTGCAATCACGTGCAGTAATTAGTCGCAATAATTAATTAATTATAATGCTCTTTCAAATGGTACTGTCTTGCAAAGAAATTCCTTGCATTTGAAATGTTTTGTCACATAACTACCTGCTGGTACTAGGGCTAGGCTGTAGACTATGCTAGTTTAGTTACCGTCCATGCCTAGACTTACTTATCCAGGCATTAGCAAGCCTGCTGCCATGCCTATGTATGAAGGGGGCCTACGCACAGCCATAAACACATAGGGGGCCTAGGCCTAGGCCTAGTTATGATGTACGTTCACCTATGGATGGGCAGTCCAGCTAGCTAAGATAACCTGCCTAGCTAGGCCTATGCTACACCTACCTGACCCCTCCTAGGTTAATTAAACGGTTACGTATTGATAAAATTACATAAATGACGAATCAATCAGGTACGTGTATACTTCATATTGATTCATTTATAGACTACGACTACTGAAAAATGTTATATGTTAACATTTCACATAAAATACCTTCTTGTTGCGAAGCTGGTTCGTCCACCATCATGATGTTTTGATAGCGAAGAGTTAAGAGCTGAGTTGGGGAAGAAAAGCGAGTGTGAGCAAAACCTGTTGATGGCGCTGTTCATGTTCCATTGGCCGTATTCGAATAATTGTTCTTCGTTGAACCACGCCCACTGCGCAGCGCGCGATAAAATCCTACGAAATAGAAAACTTGCAAATACTCGACAAAACAAAATGGTTGTATACACGCTGTGTAATCAAGATTGCATCAGCTTGTGACAGTATGGGTTTTTCGTAAAAAAAATATATTTTCATCCAGGTTTGAATTCTGTTAGCCTACAATTATTTTTTGACTTCATGTGGGTATATGATTTTTATTTTCTTAAATTTGATCTAAATTATATCAACGCAAATTTTGTTACTAAACTCACCAATCGGCCATGCTTGTTTTGGTTACTTGAATAACTTAACGCTGATTAACGCACTCTGGTTTGCGTTAATTTTCATTGTCAATGAATTCTATTTTACGAACCAGTCGAATGAAAATAATACTCAACGAAAATTCGTAGTCAACGAAATCAACCAGTCGAATACGCCCATTGTGTCATTTTTGGGTCGGCGGGATAACGGATTTTCAAGAGATAGCCTACCATAAAAATCATCGTTTTATAAGTAGGCCTATCAGCACCTTAACTATTTTAATTATTTTAAATAGAAAGGAAAAAATGTATTCCCAATGACGTAATTTCCATAGTTCCATGATCATTCTAAAATTACATTCTAGTGATTTATTTGTTGATAATTTCGTGTTCTATGGGGAAAATCCAAGAAAAAAAAGTCGGGGGTGGGGGGAGGGCTGCTTTTGACGAGGTTGTAATAATATACTGATAATTCTTTACTCGGCATTAAAGACTATATTGGAAAAAGACGTTAACATTTCAGACATATAAAAGACTTTAAGACACTCTATTATCATCATCCTCATCATCATCATCATCATCATAATCATCAGCATCATCATCATCATCATTATCATTATTATTATTATTATTATTATTATTATTATTATTATTATTATTATTATTATTATTATTATTATTATTATTATTATCATCCTCATTATCACAATCAATATCATTAATGTTATTACCAAACCCCAAGACAAAGACAGGATATTAAACTATTTAAAATTACTAAATAATAAAACCCTATATAAAACATAGGCCTAATTTTAAAAACTGACTACACATTATTTAAATAAGGACATTACACATTATTAACCTCTATGTAAAATTACTTTATTTACTTTAATGTAACAACACTAGATAAGCTATGTCCATTTATTATCTTAAAACATTCGTTTACTTATCGATTTTTTTTTCTTGCTTAATTTGTTTTTTACCTTTAATATTTCATTAGTTTTGTTAAGATTACATTTGTATTAGTTAAGATGTTTGAAGCACCACCTGCTGAGTGCACCGATATAATGGTGTATGTCAATAAATTATTATTATTACTATTTCTGATAGGCTTCGCGTGTACATGGAAAAGTCATTTTATTTATTTATTTTCTTTGTGAACTTACGCCTTTAGATCGGCGGCACTCAAGGGTGGTGCGTTCAACTTAAATACAATATAATGAATCACTTAATTACAGTACAATAAATACCAATAAAAATTATTGACACAAGCTTAAAAATAATTAAAATGAAACTGAGAAATAGGGAAGTGAACTTAAAATTAAAACAATAAAACAGTACAATAATATATATAGGCCTATATAAAAACAAACAAACAAACAAACAAACAAAACATTTGTGTACACATAGGCCTACTCAAATATATCCCTCCCTACTCAATCAATTAATCCTTTTTTTTTTCAAATTTGACCCACAAAGACCAGAATAAAACAAACAATTTCATACAAAAAAGATTAATCAAAAATGCATAGATGCAGTGAAACAAGGTAAACAATTCAAAAAAGAAGCAACATAATAAATTCGTATTAAACTAAGAAAGACTTTATTAGGTTATACCCCCACATACCCACCCCTCCTAACTCCATTTAATATATTAATTACAGTTTCATGCATAACGGTCATTTTGTCTTCGTGGATTTACTCGTTATCTTCATGATAAATAAAAAACCTCAAGATATATAGGCCGTATAATTTTGAAAACTGACTACACATTATTTAAATAGTGACATTACATAATTATTATTAACCTGTATGTAAAATTACTTTATTTACTTTACTGTAACAACACTAAATAAAAGATAAACTATGTAAATATATAACGTTAAGACACACATCTATTATATAGGTCCATGCTAATACTAATATATTTCTGATAGGATTCACGTACATGGAAAAGTCATTATAACTTGTTAATTTTGTATCCGTGGATTTACTCGTTATCTTCATGAGATTTGGTTTTCTATATCATGAACAATACAATACATTATTTCTTAATGAATTTAGCAATAGTACACTCTTATCAATCAATATAATCTATGCTCTAATCTTAAGTTGCCGTTTGAAATAGTTCAGCCTTTTTATAAACAAATCACGTTTATAGTTATTCAATTTTAAAAATGTATTTCTCGTGTGTGCATTGTTTATAATCGTTTTTTTTTATTTTGACTTAATTTTGTTCCATTAAATATGCTTTTTGTAACTTGATTGTATTTCATTTATTTCCATGCAAAGCATTGAACACAAATAACAACTTCATATTTTATTTCAGTTGCGTACCGGTGGTATAATAAAGACAATAATGAATTAATAATAATGCTTTACATGAACAGTCCATAAAATGCAACTCCTTCAGTTTTATACAAAAAGACAGTTGGAGAGTACCACAGTGAACGAGTGTATTATCGGATCTTTACACTAACAAGCAAATATGTTCAGACATTTGAAGTTGTTCTTGATTTTCTTGCTCCTGACTTTCTCTGCATCTGGTGGTATGTAGGCCTGATTTCACTTCATTGCTTTTCAGTAATAGTATAGGCCTAGGTATATAATGCGCTAAACCTCGAAGGTAGAAAAGAAGTTTGGTCGCTTACAAATTCGGGGATATACGTAAGCTATGACAACACTAAAGAAAGGGCGGGAGAGGCTGTTTTGATTTATTTTATCATTATTATTGTACTATAACTCTGTAATTATGTTTGTTTATTTTAATCATTTTTTTATATAATTTTAAGATCGTATTACATTTTGTTCATTTTATATATATCTTAATGACGCACTACCTTTCTAGGTGTGTGCCACTGATCTGAAAGTGAGTGCCAATAAATACTTAAATACTGAAAATTCTGTCATGATCTAAACAACCAAAAATAATTAAAAACTAACCGTAAAATACAGTAGTGTTCGTACCGCAAGTCTCAAACTACCTGGTGGTATTAGACCTGATTTCACATCATTGATATTCATAGTGTTCGTATCAGTTAGTCTCAAAAACCATCCTCATTTCCTTTATTGACCTTAGTAATTATTTCTTTCAGTTCAGTTTGCAAATGAAGTTTTTTTTTTTCAGCCAACAGTAAGTACTTGCTGGTAATTTCACTGTTCCCTGCTGATACTTAATTGGTAGTTAACCACTATGTACGAATCTACATGTCTCATTTTAAATTTCGAAAATGGATTAGTCTTAAGAAATATTTTATAATTAAAAAAACAAAACTTTTGTGTTGGGTCTTTACAAAATTCCAGCCCAGAACCCAGAAAGATCAGCCTCCCTGAGGCTAAAATCTTGGAAATTGTTCGGTCAATAATATTTATTATCATTTTGGTATTTTCGTTATTACAGTTGAATCAGTAATCCACGCCCTGTCGATGTCCAGAGCTAATGGACATCTGCTGTCGAGTCATTCTCTACATCATTCATCAGTGAGGGGTTTGACAGATTGTGTAGAACTGTGTTTGCGTCACTTTGAAGAATGTTCCTCTATAGCTTACGATAGAGACAGACAAATGTGTGACGTATTTGCCAGTAAATCTCAATATCAACTAGTTACACTGATGTTCCCAACGAATGTACTGCTGTACACGATGCGGTATCGCGACTGTACTGACGTCAAGCAAGGAATGAGTGGTCAAAGTGGTGTTTATAAAATTATGCCATGCCCATCATGCGACGCGTTTCTTGCTTATTGTGACATGGACACTGATGGTAAAGCGTGGACAGTAAGTTTCAAATGCAGTTTGCCCTCTAATTCGATACCACTTAAAGTAGGCTACTGTACCAACTAACAAACTTTAATCCTTTTACATAAAGTTAACCTAATTTGAGACCGAGACCGCACGACGTTTTCAGGTCCAAAAAGTTGTCACAAATTGGATGGCACACTGTTTGTTATTATTAATTTAAATTTTGCTAAAATCACGTAGGCCTATAGTCATTTTGTAAATACCTATTAGTATCCTAGACCTTCTGTTCAAGTGATGGCCAAAATCGATGCCTGCACTGATGTTTCTTCATGGGTATTGCGTCTTTAAATTGTTTAATACCAAATACATATTATTTGTCATTTGTATACTTTACTGTGTTAGTAGGCCTATGACCAATGGTGGCGCTATACGGGGAGAAAGGAAGGCGAAGAATTTTCCCCAGCAAATTCCCTCCCACCCAATAATATTCATAGATTTAGAGAAGTTGAAGCAAGGCATTTGCTTATCCGGGGTAGTGCGCTTATCACGATCAATACCAGCAATCGTGTTAATTTTCTCTTATCTTATCCTAAATTGTATCTCCGGTCTGCTATGGAAAAACATATTTCCTCCTAAGACTTTACCTTGCCCCTGCACTTTCCCCCTCCCCATAATTCAGACGCTGACGCTGCCACTGCCTGTGGCCTATAATTGAAATAATAAAAATTACAATCTTATAGGTATTTCAGCGTCGACAAGATGGCTCTGTAGATTTCAACCAAAACTGGCAAAATTATGCGTCTGGATTTGGCAAGTTAAGCGGCGAGTTTTGGCTCGGAAACAAGAAAATCCACAAGTCAGCAAAGTATGAATTTCGGATAGATATGGTAGCTACAGATGACAGCGCTTATCACGTCACCTACGAGTCAATTGAGATTGGAAGTGAAGCTGAAAACTTCAGATTGAACATAGGAGAGTACATTGACGATAGGTCAACAGCCGGTAAAGACCATATTGTTAACTATTACTTAGATTATATTCAATATAATTCAACAAACATAACAAAACCTTATAAATAAAATAATTCATTTTAAGTAGGTTCATCCACGTTTAGCAGTGAAATGACAGTCAGAGGCGGATCCAGAATATTTCAAGCGGGGGTGGGGGCACCAAATTATCAGAATAGCTGAGTGGGGAGCACTATCAGCACTGAGCATAACAAAGGTGTCGGAGGTCCTATAGTAACATTTTGTATTCTATTTGTCTTATTTCGATACGAAGCGAAATAATTGTTGACAGGATTTGTTTGTTTAGTAAAGATAGACACCCAGATGGCGTGACCACAGACCCTATATGTATAGGGTCTGTGGCGTGACCTTTGCGCTTCACCCATCAGCTCCCGATTTCAAGACTCCTACGCCACTGTACATATTTGAACATGAAAGAAAACTATAAGGTTATTTTGTTTAATGAATATGTTTTGAATGAAGATATAGTTTCATTAGGGCATGAAAAAAATAAAAACATTCTTAACGTAACTAGTCAATCGCCTTGTTATGTTTTACAGCCGAAGGACTTGACTACAGACCCGATTATCATATCGATTAAACGTACAACAATGGCATGTGCTTCTCTACAGTTGACCGAGATAACGATAATTATTACACGTCCTGCAGTGTTGTGTTTAAGTGTGGCTGGTGGTTCAACGCATGTTACTTTTCTAATCTTAATGGTCTATATGAATCGGGAATTATCTGGGACTATTTCAGAAGCCCCTATTATTTACGATTCTCGGAAATGAAAATGCGAAGAGTTGTCTGAGGACAAAAAGCTATTAGGCTATGCCTTGCCTTTTGTAATATTTGTATTTATATGCTATTATTTGTATGCTTTTGAATCACAAGTTGTGAGCTGTTGCTAGATTACGCTAGGCCTTCTATGAATAGAGAAAAGTACTATAGATGTGTTAACCATTTGCCCACAAGGACAGAATAAGGCGGCACAGAAACTTTGATTACGTTAATGATATTTCAATTTGCTCAAAACTTTTTCACTTCGCTTTGTTTGGCGACGACAAAACAAAATCGTTTCACAATCTTAAACTTTAAGTTAATAATGAAAGTTTTCAATAAATTATCTTTAAATATCGCCTAAAACGAATTATATTGTATTCAATCCTGGGGCAGCATGCAGGGGCGGGGTGCAGACAGTGCGACGCACACCCCTAAATTTTATTACAAAAATTAATTGTTGTATTGTTTTGTTGATATGAATTACCGGTAAGATTGTTAAGGTATGAGAGTACAATTTCTGGGCACCTAGACAGTGGCGTAACTACCGCAACAGGCCCGTATGCACCAATCGCACCCCCCCCCCCAACAAAAAAAAAATTACGAATTATATAACGAATAACTAATTATTACTAATTCTGGGGAAAAGGTATTGAAACTAGAGGAATTTGTTTTATTAAATGCAGTGACCAGGGGTGGAGCCAGGATTTGCCCGACGCGGGAGGGGTAGGGGCGACGTTCCCAACGGGGGGCCGATTCCACCCGACAGGGGGTCAGATGTCCCCCACGAAAGCAAAGTTGGCGTGGTCGAGCTTCGATTGAAAGGTTTCGAAAGTGGTCCAGGAGGCGAAGCCCCAAAAAAATTACACATTTGAGGGGTTTCAAAGGGTTATTTAATCGATTTTAGAGTCATAGGCCTATATTTTTTCCCTCCCCGACGAGTTGTGCTTTATCTCCCGACGGGGAGGTAAGCAGCTCTCCCCTACCCGCCGTCTCCCTCGCTGACGCCACCCTGGCAGTGACTAAAATTGTAGTTGTCAGCATCAAACACGCACGCAGTCAGGGAAGTACAGCAACGTGAATACTTAATTCACTGACGTGTAATAATTGATCCTATTCATTTTTTGTTTGTTTAAAGTAATGAAATGTTTGTGTACATATTTCGGGTGCTCAAATTAAACATACATTGAAACTCAAATTGTACGTGGCTTTAACACTTTTGTTTGTGTACCCGTTATTGTCAACAAACACTCCTTGAACTTGTTTTAACTACAGGCTCAGATCGTAGGAGCCCCCGCACCCCTACCCCCTCCCTCCCTTCACTGGTCATTCACGCATTTCAAATCTCTCAGATTGGTATAATAGCAATGGAAAAATTTGCAGGGCAGCAAGTAGAACTCTATTAGGCCAACAAAAGCATAAACCTATGATATTCCTGTCGTAAAACAAAATATATAAAAGCTCATTTTTGATCCCAAATGTGAATAAACACTAAAGTACTGTAGTTCAAAATAAATACAGTGTATTCTTTTCCTGCCTTATGCCTTGTTTACATGCCAGGGCTAATGTGCCCTCGTACTCATATGGTCGTCGTGCTTTTTCACTAGGCTACGAATTCGAACAAAATGGTCAGTTCAATAATTAACTACAAAGTTCATTACTGTGCATGCTTATGATTATGAGCAAAAATTGATGATTCTCACTATTGGACGGATTGCATAAAACTTTTTGTGCCAGTGGATTGTGACAATTAAAACGGACACTGGTATCTACAGAGGGGAAAATGAGCAATAAACACTAGAAACGTGATCACGCTCTTATTATTATTATTCTTAAACTTCGACAAAAAATTAGATTAATGAGATAAAACGCGCTTAATGCGATAAAATTTTGAATCTAGCAAGCACTAGAAAGCAAATATGTTCAGACTTTGGAAGTTGTTCATGATTTTCTTACCCCTGAGCCCGCTGCTGACTTTCTCTGTATCTGGTGGTACTGTATGTAGGCTTGATTTCATTGATTTTCAGTAATTTCAATAATTGAAAACTAACCGTAAAATACAGTACCGGTAGTGTTTGTACCGCAAGTCCCAAACTACCTGGTGGTAGTAGGCCTGATGTTCACATCATTGATATTCATATAGTGTTCGTGATCGTCAATCAAACCATCCTCATTTTCTTTATTTTCCTTAGTAATTTTTTTCTTCAGTTTTTTTAAAATGGTCAATTTGTAATTGAATTATTTCTTTTTTACAGCCAACAGTAAGTACTTGCTGATAGTTATTTAGTAGTTAACCATTATTATTATTATTATTATTATTATTATTATTATTATTATTATTATTATTATTATTATTATTATTAGTAATATCATTCTCTTAATTGTGCATAAGTAAAATTTTCTTTGTTAAAATTACTATTATTAACATGATTTTCACATTCATCTAAAAGATTATGAAACGATTTTTATCAACAAAAGGTTGAAAAAAAATTACCGTGATGAATCTCCTGAATAAATTCAGGGTCGGCGTTTACTTCTTTGCCGGAATCCTATTGCTGTCGACATATGTTATGACAGGGACGTATCCAGGTGGGAGCCGTGGAAGCTGGGGCTTCCCCCCTTTGTACAC